GATTGTACTCAGAATTCAGTTATTCAATAAAATTCAAAGCTTTTACTTTCTTAAAATTTGCTTCGCTAATATTTTACTGTTCTTCAAGTTTCTTCAAGATAGGAAGTTTCTAAAGATTTGTTGAGTCAAGGAATTATGATCGAATTATCGGGTAAGTCATGACGTCTTTTTTTATTCTTTTTATTTCCCTAGTATCTTGAATTTTCATGTCATACATGTGGGTGCAGTTTCAAGTAAGGAGGGTAAATTAATTGGTTAAGTCCTCTGATTCATACGTTGTGTGAGGTTCCAGGAGTCAAAATGATTCTTCCTCAACCCCTCCCATGTCATTAGGTTTTGTTATAATATAGATATAATATATATATATATATAGATTTATATATCATAAATAAATATATAGTTAATTCCCATCTTGATTGTAATCAAACTTGAGTCTGGTCAAGCTCAAGCCTTTTAATATGTTTTCAAACCAAGCTCGATCCTAGTAAAGAAAAGCTCAAATGAAGAATTGGCTCAATCAAGCTTCGAGCAAGCTCGAACTCACTCGAATGTTTAATTATTCTGCTACAGTCAGCTCGTCTTTGCCCGCGCGGCAAATCAGGAGTGCTTTCAGATGACATCTACATTTGTGACTGCACAGCTAAATTGATTGGAGAGAGTATCCAGGAAACAAAAGTTTATAGTTAAGAAAGCAGTCTTTTACTCCTGCAATGTTCTTAAAAGCCAAGAGACGTGTTCGTATTTACTACAGTTTCCGGGAATGGTATTCCTCAACTTTTTTGCCCCTTTATTCCTATCATCATTTCTGATTCCTTTTTCCCCTCCTTTCTCAAATTTCACTAGGGCTGGGGGATTGCCATTAGTTTATGATTTATACTTCTAGCACTTATCTTACACCATACAATATGGCATAATAGTACTCCAACTTCTAACCTTGCAGAGAAGGGAAAACATACAAAAGCGTTTTATGTAATGGCTTTGCTCTATAACTTAGGATACAATGTTAAATTTCTAATACTGCTTCAGGAATCATAAGTACAGTACCTTTCCTTCATAATATCCTTGCAATAAGTAATTTGCCACGCCAAAGTCAGCAGCAGAGATATAAACAAATCTTTTCACACCTGAAGAAAAGACAAACAAAGATAAGTAACAAACACAACTGGAATAGAACTATTAAAAGCTGTTGCTGACACCATTAATATCTGTATAACTCTCACTTGCTTGTCCTAAGTCCTAAAGTATGAACACAAAATAGGTAATCACATACTATGGCCGATTAGCTATACTAAACTCCTGACTCTTCAGAAGAATCTTGAATAGATAAGAAAACATATGTTAAAATAAGTACCAAATAAATCAATTACGAAATTGATGAAGAACTAGAAGAGAAAGACATAATCACTCTTCACAAGGAAAAAGAAACTAAGAAAATGCAACTGTCAGATGGAAATTACATGTTCATAGTGACAATCTACGCTGTAAAAATTCTCTCACTTACTATTTTTGCATAACTCACTGACTACAGACGAATGGCCACTACAAAAAAGTGAATTTGCACAGGAGAAAATTCTAACCATCTCAATAGCTATACCTTTCTCTGAAGCAGCTCTAATTGCATTGATGTTTGCTGTCCCATTAATCTTGTACATGTAGGAGTTGGTGCCAAAACCACCAATACAGGAGACCTAGACAGATATTATTTAAAAAAAATAAAAAAGAGACCATTAGATCAGCCGCAAACCAATGAGTCCAACAATATGATATTCTCTAAGAAGGAATCAGGAAAAAAAAATTGAATATGAATAGCTTGTTGATTCAGTACGTACAACAGAAGTCACTCCATCAAGAGCTTCCATCCAGGAATCAGATGAGAGAAGGTTTCCTGGAAATTATAAAAGGTTCAGAGGCACTTTACATATACTGAGGCCAAATTCCTTAAGATCATATTTAAAGAAGTCATACCTTTATACCAAGTCACATTATTAGCCCAGGAATCATGTAAAGATGACCTACCAGACCTAAAAGTGGAAGCAGCGAATAAGTTTGAAGATAAAGTAAACAACCAAATGAACCATCAAACACAAGCTAAGCAGCAAATCAGAGCCAAAGGCAGCGGTAATAAATCCACTATGAGGCAAATGTAAATGGATGAGGTCACTTTGCCAGTTCTTTAAATGTCAATCATGAACAAATAATGATTGTTAAAAAATTTTCAATATTAACAGAGTGTCTAACAAAGACACCTTTGTTAATTAATGCACATGTCAACAGGCTGCGAGACAAGAAATTATGGTGATTTCAAGTCATAAAAAACCTATGATCAGTTTCGGCAGTCCACTATGAAATACTTTCAATTGCATAGTAAAAATATATTTTAGTTAAAGAATGATGAGTCTTCCATGCATCTTGAATCTTTTAATCATTCTTTAAACATAATTAAAGATGTATGGAAGAGTGCATCATGCATAAAGGTTTTCAGCTTTTTGGCTAAAGGGAGATAGGCTAGTAACATTAACCAGGTCAAAATAATACAAAACGCTTCCACTATCAAAAAGTGAAATAAGAAATTACCAGGGAAATTGAAGCATCAAAATGAAAACAAATCTTAGTAAGGAACCTGCTAATGCTGGCAACAGAAATGCCACGATCTAAAGCTTCTCTACAAACATGTGAGCCAACAAATCCATTCCCACCCAACACAAGTAACTGAAAAGAATTATGTATACGTCCAAATTTAGGTAAATATCCAAAAAATCAAAAGAAAGAAACCCATGATTTAGTTGGCCAAAAATATATGATATAAACCTTCTCTGTTGGAGGTGGTGGCACATTAACTGTCTCTGCTTCCTGAACTTTGAAGGGCTCATCAACCTTGTTAGAATCAGTTTGTGAAGAGACATTTACAGTCCCTGCTTCTTGAACCTTAAAGGGCTCATCAACCTTATTAGAATCTGTTGACAAGTATCTGCTGTTCCCGGATACAGAGAATGCACTATTTGGGAAAAAGGAGAAAAATCAATATTGTAAAATGATGTTATCTTGCTAACTAAAAAACAACATGATGCATTCACAAGATGAATCAACCACAGTTACATATAAGGCCAAAATACCAAAAGCCACCTCAGAAACAATTAGCCCTTGAAGCAAACTCCAGTATGAAAGAAACAACAAATATAGCTCCTAGAAAGTTATTGATGTCGGAAATGCACCATGGGCATATAAAATTAGGAGTGAGAATAACAATCGCCCAACCAATTAAGGGCGAGAGATTGGATACTGCTTTGCAACTTTAGAAACAATGTTTATGGAAATAGTATAGGCAACTATCTACCTTTCAATAATTTCATTCGGAGATATACGTGACCAAATGCTCATGTTTACCTGCAAATTCTTTAGTGTTTTCTTTTGCTATGTTCTTCTAATAAGGGATATCCCAAAATCGGCAGGACTCAACTAAACCATAAATCTGTTAACCTCGTTCCTTAAATCCACATTGAAACAAAAATAAATAAAAAGGAATAGAGTAATTTGAATATCTGTGGAGGCAATCGTTAGACTTTTCCTTTGCATATATAGGTAAGTCATTATGGCCCTTAATAGTACAAAAACCCACCTCTGCACTAATTATGAATTCATTTCCCCTTCTGTTAGAAATATTATTTCTATACTGAATATCCTGTAAGCTGCAAGATTAACACTTTCAGAAGATTACCCCTACAACAAGAGACGCAAAAATATCCAACACGCCAAGCCAAGCTATTATTTACATAAATCAACAAGACATTTAATTTAATTAAAAAAATTTCGATCTTTTCCTGTCTTCCATAGCAAGCGACGATATGCCACTAATGCAAATTCCACAGTAAGAACCAACAAAATTGCTAAACAACTCAAAAGAGAATCACCGATATAAGTAACGACCGAAGTAATCCAACCCAAAAAGAAAAAAGAGAAAGAAAGAATATAGAGAGAGAAGCAATTACTTGAGTTTAGCGAGTGAAGGGCTAAAATGGAGTAAACGCGACGCAATTGTCCTCATTCTCTCTAATTCTCTTGGCCGGAAAATCTAAAGTTTAATCAATTGCCTTCTCCTTGATTAGAATTGCTCTATGAGAAAATGGTGTTAGGTCTGCGAAAGGTTGTGACGCCGGAAAATTCTGGATGTGTTCGAGCGCGAGAAACGTCGTCTCGTACTCCTTTGAAGAAAGAGGGTGAGATCGGAGAGAACAGGTGGAGCATAATGGTAGTGACACGTACAAAGCACACGTGGCTCATTGTAAACCTAGATTTGACTCTATCAAAATAATTAATAAGACATTAGAAGCTCTCTCCGATCAGAAAAAAAGACCACATTAAATCTACCATAATTGAATCTAACAAGTAATTGGTATTCCTCCCAATCATCATCACTCTTGCTCTTTTTGACATTTGTCAAATTGGACTCGAAGTTTAGGCAATCGTCATGGTCTTTATAGCCACGCCTCAGCTGTTTTTATTTTTAACCAAGGAAGCCTTGAAGAGAAACTGAGGAAGAGAAGAAGGAAGTTAGGGTTTATAAGAACTACACTAAATTATTAAATTATTTGCCAAAGTTTGATATTTCATCTTCAATATCTTTTTTTTAGTTCATATTGATTTTTATTTATTTCAAACATTTAATTTTTTTATTTTCTAATGAAAGAAGTTAAAACAGTTATTGTAATACTTGAACCCGAAAAATTTGGTCCGGGATTGATTTTAAAAATTAAATTAATATATAAAAAATATAAATTTTAAATTTATAAATTTCTATTTAATGCAAAATTAGTAAAAAATAGGTTGATGATGAAATTGAAAATAATTTTAAAAAAATATATAAAAATTTGGGTTCATGGGGTATTTTTAAAAGAAAAATCTGAAACTAGATGTTAAAACGCAATTTTAAAAAAAATGTATCACGTAATCCCGTCAACTGTTCTGATGAACCGGAGCGCGCAGTGTGGCAAGGCACATAGACTCAGTGTCATGCGGAAGGCCACAGTGACAATCTGCGTGCCCACGATCGAACGATCCGAATTGCACCCGCGCGCGTAGACTGTCCGGATCCGTTCCCTTCTTAGGCATGATCGGACGGTAGCGATTAAACGCGATGAACGGCACAGATTTGTTCCCTCTTTAAATGTGATCGTACGATCTAGATCAGATCGCGATGAACGGTCTAGATTAATTTTCTCTTTAAATGCGATTGAACGGTTGAGATCAAACACGATGGACGACCCAGATTAAAGGGAGACGGGTATAAATATATCACTTCACACTAAACCCTAACCCTAGCCACTAATCCCCCGTCGGAGAAGAAGAATCACTCACTGGAGAAGGGAGTCGACCACTGCCCCCCGCCGCGCCAGAGCCACCTTCGATCACAAAAAAAGGAATAAAAAAATTTATTCGCTCAAAATTTGATTTTGAACACCCTCATGGCAAAATCGGAGCAAAAAGACCGGCGGATGAGACGAAAACTATAGGTAAAGCCTGGTGTCGCCGCCGCGAAAAAACTAAAAATTACCTCCTATGAGGCCCTTCTCAATTCCTGTTTCGTGCGATTTTTCTACCATTATATTTACCATTCTGTTTCCTACATGTTGATCGAAGAAAAAGTCTCAACCGCAAAGGTAAGCCAGCAGAGCCGCCGCACCGAAAAACTCTGCCGCCAGTAAGCTTTTATTTTTTGATTTTTTTTTTTGCCAACCGAAGCCCTTAACATGTTTTCTTGCAAGGATGTGTATAAAATCGGTTGAAATATGTCAAAACAAGCTAAAAACAGCCAGTCCGAGGCAAACCGCCGCCGCATGCGGCAGTGCCATCGCCAGAGCACGGCGGTGCCACCGTGTCGGAATTTCAAAATTGGCCGAAAAAGAGTTTTAACACCGATTTTTGTGTTTTTAGGATATTTCTCGGTTTTAAATGCATGATAACACGCTGGAGTTGATAAGATGATTCAGTTGTGTTTCCTTGATGCATATATTGCTTATTTTACGTGATTTACAGTTAAATTGTGAAATTAGAAATTAAATATAAATGGAGAATTGCTTGATTACGTGAATGAATGAATGGTAGCCTTACTAGATATCCTAAGAGATGGTGAATGGATCGGATACATAGAGAACCCTATCGTGAACGTTGCCTCATACTAGACGGGGTATCAAGAATTGGTATTTCTTAAAGTGTATTTTAATAACCGTAGGAAAATTCAGGAACCTAGGGACCGTCAGTAGGCGCAGCTGAAAGTTTAGTATTTCGGATACCGATTCGGGTAAGAATCTCTCACCTTATTTCCTGTTATGGAATTGAAGTCTACTTATAAATAATACGATATTTTACGTAATTTAAAAAACCTCGATAATTAATTACAGCTTACCAATGGAGCTGGAACAAGTTATTTATTACTGTTTATCCTATTTTAATTGATTGATTAATTTTACAGACGGGGTATGGGGACAACCTGTTTCACCCTCATACCGGACGGGGTATTAAGAGATGGTATTTTTGGTGCTCATACCGGATGAGGTGTGAGGACGATTGGTTAGTTGACAATATTGAATAAGGGTTCACACATAGTGGGGACATCCCTATGAACCCCCATAAATGCCAATAGATAGATAAAAAGAGAAAGTTATTGTTCTGATTAATCAAATATAAGATATGATATTGTTTGTGTTATTGCTTTTGTAGGTCACTTTTGGAAATCTCGTTACAGTAAGTAAATAATAAATAATTTTATTTATGATAAATGAATTTACTTAAATTAAGAGATCCATTAGTTGTTTTCATGATTTTTACCAACTTTCATTTCTGTATCGGTGAGTAGTGTGACATTCTTACTAGGTTAATGTAGCTCACTCTTTCATTAACCATTTCAGACCAATAGGATCAAGATCCAGATCCCGATCCACAAGATGGTTGCGAATAGGATGCCTACTTGTTTACTTTCTATTTATTTCTTTGATTTTTCGTTTGTTCTTTTAGGATGGTCATTTCTCGTAACTCTATTGGGTATTCTAAATTATTGTGTAAGGAATGTAAACTCTAACTTTATTAGTTTACTTCCGCATTCAATTTATAATTTATTTCCTTTTAAGTTCCAAGCCGTTACAGTTGGTATCAGAGCAACATTTCTCATAATCATTCATTACACAAAAACCCTAGGAAATACCAAAAAATGAATCATCACTCAACCATTCCTTGTGAAATGTAGGCACAGATAGATGAGGAGATGAAGACCCCCATAAAACTGATGAGTCCGGGAGGGTTCCCTTTGAGAGGATGTTGACTGATTATTTAAAATGCTGAAGAGACTCATCGCTATCCACCAGACCCGGAAAGAAAAGAGAAAGCTACCTGACCCTCCCTTGTTATCACAGGTTGAGTCATCCCTGCAGCGGGAGGATTCTGAGCCACTCTGGTATGACCCTACTCCTCCATAGTACCATCCGACACCACCACAACACAATCCAGTGCCTTCATCATATCATCTAATACCACTACAAGGTCATTCGATCCATCCCCAACACAATCCAGTCCCTCTTCCACGGGACCCAGTTCCGCCCATTATGACTTAGGCTATGTTGAGAAGTATAAAAGACTAAACTCATCTACTTTTATAGAGGGATCCCCCTTTAAAGAGACTGAATACTGGTTAGCTGAGACAGAGAAGGCCTTCATGACTCTTGAGGTAATTCCCGAACAAAGAGTCATACTTGCCACCTACATGCTGGTGGGAGAGACAAGCCGTTAATGGGAACTCAAGTAGGCTACCTTGCCCGTGTCAGTCACTTGAGAACAATTCTTGATGGTCTTCAATACTGAGTACTTACTAGAGCATCTCCAAGATCTGAAGAAAATGGAGTTTACACACCGGTCCAGGTATTCCCCTGAGAGCATGATGGATGAAGGCAGAAAGGCAAAAAAGTTCGAGTGGGATCTCTGTCCTAAGATTAGACAACAGCTGTATGTGTTCAAATTTAGTACTTATTCGGTCGTTCTAGGCAAAGCACAGCTAGTGGAGAGGAACCTTTGCATTTTTCCTCCAGCAGTAGGGAACCTTAGGCTCTCGGTTTTACACCACAGACCAATACCTACTGCACCTGTTTAGCAAAACAAGAGACTTAGGTCAATGACTCAAGCTCCTCCTCAGATTCCAACAATAGGACGCAGTAAGACTTGCCAACAATGTGGTAATGATCATGGGGACCGACCCTATTATCATCTCAACAATATTTTTCGTATATGTGGGAGTGTCTAGTATTACAAGAGAGAGTACACGAAAAATAAGAACTAGGCTACACCTCCTATCTAGGGCAGGGCTTACAACCTCACTCAGTAAGATGCATAAACCAACCCAGACGTAATACAAGAGATATACACTATCTGTAATTATCTTGCACAAGTTTTGATTGATACTGGTGCCTCATATTTATTTGTTTAACATGTTTTTACACAAAACTTGAATGTATTACCAAAAAGATTTGAATCTGTATTATTTGTATCTATTCTTGGGAGTAGCACACTATTGGGGGAGGTTATATACAAAGCCTGTGTCATAGATGTAGCAAATAGAAAATTGAGTGTGGATCTAATAGAGATTGACATAGGGGACTTTGATGTAATCCTAAGAATGAATTGGCTAGCGTTGTATCATGCCACCGTAGATTATTTTCATAAGAAACTTGTATTCGACCTTCCTAATGAAGAGTCAATTACAAATTAATAAAATATTTTAGCATTTATGCCCTCATGGAAATTTTTCTTATTATCAAGTACTTTAACTCAACTGTTTTCTCTAACTAGGCAAACTTAAGAAAGAAATTTGTATCAAAAGATTCTGGTAGTCCAAGACTTCCCGGATAAACTACCCAGATTGTTTGTGGGTAGAGAAGTTGAACTCACCATAGATCTCCAGTCAGACACCCAGCCTATTTCGATTGCCCCATACCGTATGAGTCGTGTTGAGATAGAGGAGTTGAGGAAACAGATCAATGAATCGCAAGATAGTGAATTTATCCAATATAGTGTGTTCCCTTGGGGTGCCGGAGTCACATTTATAAGGAAGGGGGATGGGACGTTAAGGTTATGTATTGACTACAAATGATTGAACAGGATCACGATCAACAAAAAGTAACCCTCCCCAGGATTAATGACATTTTTGAACAGTTGCAAGGTGCCCAGGTCTCCTCCAAAATAGACTTGCATTCAGGTTACCATCAGGTAAAGATCAAGACATAAGATATTCCCAAAATAACTTTTTGAACTAGGTACGGACACTATGAGTTTCTG